GCTTCATACTGTTTCTTTCCTTTGGCTGATGAGGTCGTTAGCCGCGGTATGATCAAAGATGACACTACCAAGATGTCGGTGACCTACATAGGACCGCACAAGAAATCTCGGCTCTTCCGCCGTCCTCACAAAACGCACTTCTTTTCTCTCAGCCCAGATAGAAACCACTCTTGAAGATCTAATTCAACGCGAAAAAATGTTTAATGATATGAATAAGCACGTATGAGAACACCTTTCACCTACGAAAAGTCACCCAATGCAGCAATGAAACACTCAACCAGCTTGGTTACATGGTCCTCGAAAGTTGCTAGGAGATCGACAGTTTGTGATCCAGCACAGAAGTTATTGATCCCTGAGAGTTGCATACTAACGGCACGTTAGCCATCTGACCTAATCGGCCAACTCGCTTTTGATTGATGCTACATGCATCAAATAGGTATGGGTTGGCCGATAAGTAAACAGATGATCATACATGCTCTTACGGATTTCAGAAACATTTCTAACGAGGAAACTTTATTGTGTTGATCACAACAATTAGGCGTCGCCAACATTTTCTATTTGGAGTTTTGTGAAGGAAGAGAATAGGTTTTGCGCCTTACAATGAATTGTGGATGTCCAGGGGATGAAGGGCGTGTAGTTGGTGTAGATGACTTCTGCAACAAATGGGAAACTCGTCTTTTGTATGCATTGCATTCGAAAGTTAAAAACGGTTTTGTACCTTGCAAAAAGTTGCACTGTTAAGACGTTTTCTTCACCGAGCCTTCATACCTCTACCTTACTACTTCGCAAAAAACGGTAGGAGTTGAACACAGTATTCCTAAACCAACTAATTCGATCTGTTGCATCTCTCTCTTTTCTCTGAGAGAGGAGAATATGAGAGATCGGACGGCCTTGGTCATGTTATGCAAATTTCCTGGTGCCCGTCCAGTGATCCGAGTTATGATAACAGACAAGCCACAAGTCGCGCCGATGGATATATCAATTAGACAAACATCGTTGATTTCCCCGCTATTATTGAACCCGAATCAGCTGTCATGTTTACAAGTAAATGAATAAGAACTATTGAGGTCAATAGAATACTGAAACCTCTGGATGTGTCACAAAAAAAACTAACTTGTGTATTTTCCAAGTATTAGGAACTATTCCAAAACCCCAGTAAGAACAAAGTTATTAGGAACTGTGTAATCTACGAGAACTAGTCACACTAACTTTACAAGACATAACACAGTAACAATTATCTAAAAAGTAAAAAAATCGTGACGAAAAAGCACCTATGGTTCATGAAGAGCTGGGATTCCACATAATCAGAGACCTCATTTTCAATGCACATGGCTTGGAAGAAACCCTTAGCGGAAGCTGCTTCGTTGGTATCAAGTGCTTATGAAAGCCCGTCAGATTGCGCCTAGCCGATTCACTGAGGAAATGCCAGTTTCTTCAACTCTCGTGCGTCGACACTTCAAACGATCACCGAATGAAGTCTGGGAGCCATTTCACAATTGTGTCTTCGATTTTTACTGCCGGTCGTTGCTGGCGGCGTTTGAAGTCCATTCGCCCGCGAGATAATGTCTTTTGCCCCATACGATCTCTATGGGCTCGCCGCTGAACTGAGTAGTCGACTGACCTTCGTCGAATACAAAACTACCTTAGCAAAGCACATCATGGATGTCACCGATGGATGGGATCTGAACGTCTTCGGATATTCTCTGGAAACTTTTCGAGCTTCCGAAAAAAACTGTTTTATGTTTCCAATAGAGATTAGCGACTCGTAGTGAAACAGAAACAAATAAACAACCAAATAATGAAGTTCATAAAAAACATGGATAGTAAATGTAGTCATTTTGCTAGCTAGTAAGCGCTGTTTTCAACGGATAGTGAGCTTAGATGACCTGTGATATCGAAAGGTCGACAGGACAATTTTAGACATCCCACTGCTAAATTTGACCGCATAACGTTTTTTCACATAAGGTAAGAACTAGGAAACCTACGCGTTAAGCCGTTAGTGACAATCACGGAAAGAGCTGCAATCTTTCTACGAGCCACCGCAAAACTACGACATTTCCTACTTATATTTCGATCATGAAATGATTTTCTGGCGCTCTGCCTCATTCTACATAACTTTGTCGCCACGCTTGCTCATTTCACCATGAATCTCTTGCGTAATCATCGAACAAGACTTGTTATTGCAAAGGCTTATCACGTATTACGCCATTAAGTGAACATTTTTATCAGATTTTGCTCGTTTACTGTGTCATCCGCTAACAGCACACTGATATTCGTAATCAAGTCGACAGAGCGAACCCCATACAAACTCTAACGACGTTAATGACTACAGATAGGCAGATAGTGATATACTTATTATTGATTGGGACTGTACTGACATAAACATAAATTTTACAGAGTGATCCATGCTTCTGTTAACAAGGAAGTCGACCCATGGAATGAACGTTTGACGAAGGCTCGTCAAATATTTCTTGTCCTGTCAGCGCCATCAAATGGATAAAGACCTGCCTGTCAAAGTGACTGCCGGATCGACCACTAAGGTTGAGACCTCAATTAGCGCATTAGTGTGTGTTAGCGCTCTAAGGACCAAATTTCACAGCATCGGCTCCATGTGAACAGCTGCATGATGAGTATATTCGAGCCGGATTAACCTTTTACTACGAGAACATCCTCATTGTAGACTGCTTCACAACGATTACGACGACCATCAGCAAAGATCTAGACGAAAGGATTAGTCGTAAACGATTTTTTAGTCCCAGCGGATTAATAGGTTAAATCAAATGAACGACGAGAAGATAAAACATTAAGGTTGGAGGAGTCGCAAGAGTAGAGCCAGAAATCTGCTACTTGTGGGTTTAACAAATCACCGCAATTTTTTATGAACTCGACTTTTTAATTCGTAACTCCGAACAAATTCAAAATATGCGAAGACAGATTGAGTATTCCAATTTCAATTTGTACCAACCGCTGTCGCCATGCTGCAACTGAAAGCACTTGGCTCTTGAGACCCAAGTGCTTCAGCATCCGAAGCCACAGTCAATGCTGATGTTTCGTAAATGTCACCAAGAAAGACCTCTAGCAAAAAAAAGTGTTCCGGCGATTATCCTGGCCAGTTTTCGGCGGCGTATGTATTAATGTCAAACGCGCCCTTTCGACATAATATGTTTAACATGAAGAAATTCATACGTTATGATGAGACTTTTTCTCCATTGCGACTTTCCACGTCTCCTTTTCTGTTAATACATGAAAGTAGAAGGATAGATACTTTTTGAGGACTCTTAACCCTTCTCATAACACAGAGAAGCTGAAAATATCCGAGCTATTTATAGTTCATTTTTAAGGGAGATTTAAAGATTCCAATGCATTGTTGCCCCATCAAAGAAAACGCGCAGATTTAGTATGCCATGAAATTGGCTCTGCATTACACTCACACAGAAAAAGATCCTCTCAACAGCTTGGAACTCTCAGCACTGGGCAACGTCAGGCAATTAAGAAATCACTTACTTTTGCGTTTATTCTAAAAACTGCCTTGCCTAGTAGTTTCATTATGAAAGAACCTGTCCTTGTCACGACTCATACAATGCAGTTATGGGTTCGAAAAAAAAGTCTTAACATGCTTGTTCTTTTTTGCAGCATCAGCATCCAGTAACGAACGCTTTCTCTTTCCCCTACTCGATTAATGCGATTACCCGCGGACTACTGCCTCCACTGGGGATTCTGCTAGTTCACTTATGCCACCATCCGACTCGGAACTCCCTCGATTGTCACATTAAAGGGCCACGGAGAAGTTATACAACGGAGGAGAGAGTGGATGAGTCGATAAGACGCCAACGACAGTGACAATGTTGTGGTTGTAAATCTCGATGCACCTCAAGTGGCGTCTATTAATCAGCCGTCACGTTCGTGATCAGGCACGCAGACGGTCAGGCGATAAATCCTGACCCGTTACGGGTTAGCCAACCATATGATCTGAGTTCGAAGATGGAGATAGGAACAGACACGGGCAGAACCCGAACAAATTTGACACGATAATTGGTTTCAAACACCATCGTCTAGCGTGACGGATAAACAGATAACAAGAGCAGTCAAAAAAGATTTCCTTGGTCCGCTTGATTTTGCTTCCAGAATAGTAAACTGCACTAAGAATACAGGAGATCCACTGATAACGCAGCAATTGGTAGATGAAAATCTCCTATAGGTCTGATAAGATGTCGCTGCTCGACAACAACGATCAAACTGTTTTTTGTGTGTGAAAGCAATTTTTCATTGTTCTACTGGACTTAGTCTGAAAATTTCCAGGTTAACATTTACTCATTCTCTCCATCTACGTTAAAAATGGGACGATGAAGAAGGGAATAGGGTGCTGCCCGCTAACGATAAACGTTCGCAGCCGTTCCCAAAACTACAGAAACGCCGTAAAAACTCGAATGATGCGTATTTTACAGCCTGTCCACTTGAACATATGCAGTATAAGTTGAAGGTTGTCTCGTTAATGATGTCATAACTTAAAAATGCAGCGTTTAGACCGAACTGACAGCAATCAATAATCTGATGTTAAGCAATCTTTTAGTAACTGTAGAAAGTGCTCGGGATATTTACGAACATAGTCGTATAACGTTTCAATTCTAACATATTTCCATTACACTACCAACTGTAGCAGCAGAAAGCGAGAAAACTTAGATATTTAGCATTTAGAATGACATTACATTCAGAACTTTTGTGAATGTGATTGCTACACCTTTTCATAGCCTGGAGAACTGCGAAGCTTTTTGCTTTCAACTGTGTAGAAGCGCAAGATAAGACCTGAGGAATGCAAAGATGGCTTCTGCGTCTCCTCGACGGACACTGTGCTCTGCAGAGATCACCTCTCATAATAACCTACTCCCTCTTTTTTTGGAATCAAGTTCAACTTACTACGTGCCACCACAGACCGCTACCGGTGACGGTGCTCATGGGGAACAACTGGCATCCTCTCTAATTTCGAGCTTAAAGCGTAACCGTCAATAACTGTTCAACTTACACGCTATCCGTATCCGAGCAGGGTCGGAGCGCACCACATGAGAATCACTGGCGCCTGAGGCGTAGCACTGGCAGGAGAATTCATCTACCTGAGAGCCGAGTTCCACTTCTTGTCGAGTGATTTCCACACCACCCTGCATATATGGGAGCTGTGTACCTGGGTCGGTGCCGAGTACACTTTCATATCGTGATTCGTCGAGCTGAAAAACAGGGTGCTTTTTTCTCGCTTAATAAAACCTAACTTAGACATTTGAATGTTCGAATACATCTAGCTTACAAGTGTATGCACCATTTCGATCACATTTACTGCGTTGATTGCAGTAAGCGTTCAATTTGTTGCAAATGCATTCAAACTTGAAAGCGCACAGTTACGATTGAGAGAACTTTTCTTTGCATACACAGATATATGACATTTCGCCCTAACATTCATCCAAATTTTACTGAAGAACAACTACTTAGTTGGAAGGAAACGTTCAGTTGTAGGCCACATGCCGCATCCGCCATAAATGCTGTTATTTGACACTGGGTGGATCCGAATCATATGGTCCCCACTGAGCTCCTGCGAACAAATTCACCACTATGTAGACAGTCTTGTGTCCTCATACCTTCATTGATTTCTCATCTTTGAGCTGACAAGTAATATTGAGAGTAGTTCAGACCTTTCCAAAATACTAATTTTAAAGGATCCCTGAATTACCGAGCTTTCTAGACCCACAGATGTGATAAGACACGAGATTCAACTCAATGAGATACTTAAGGAGGCGTTACTCCGGCTCATATCGAGAACACTGCAAACAAAGGAAATCCGCAGACAAGTAAAGTGGAATGGGTGCCTTACAAAGGATATGAAACTCTATTTAGGGAAGTTAATCAATAACTTGTGTTTAACGGATAAAAAGATAAAGGATAAAGTTCTTGGTGTTGATCAATCCGTGAGTGATGACCATGCATTCAATATCATTAAGCACCGTTTGGAGGTGATTGGATGCATATATGGCCTTTAAAATGACTCGCGGTGTGTACTGATGTATTAATTTAGTGCTGCTATCCTTTGTGTTTTTCAGAGCGCCTCCGACCACTGCGCCACACTCGCTCCGTTTAAAGGATAGTGCTGAATATTCATGTGTCGTTCAAGTTATTCATAATGTGTTCGATGTAAGGAGTGAGAAAACAGTGCAAAAATGGTATGAAAACAACAAATTTACTTTTCACTTTTTCCGCTTCCTTTTTGTCCAGCGTTTTCCCTCCACCTGACACATTGAGTGCGTGCAATGATTCATTCATAGTTATTAGTAGAAATGGTCTTCCTTGTTTTACTGTCACTTTTTTTTCTGAAACTGACATCTTTGCTAAAATCGCTTGACTTAGAATTACCGTACATTGTTTAATAGAATGGTGATTGAAAAAGAGTAGTGATGGTCAGAAATCAATGAAAACCTCCACAGCATAAGCACCAGCCATTAAAACCATTTAATCGGTTTTGACACTTGACGAGATTACTGTCAAGCACTGCAACTGGAAAATTTATAGATAACCAATAACCTCATGTACGACGGCTAGCTGTGTGTAAAGTAAGGGGAAACTCCATTTAGGGACCACGAGGTATTGATATGCGGGCGAGTTACCCCGGTGGAAAATCGCTCGAGCGACGAGAATCCTCCGATCGCGATTACCGCGCGTTCGCATTCGCGACGGTTTCATCGTCGCGGCAAGAGGCGATTAGTTGCCGTCACGCGGCGATGCGGATTCACAGTGTTGATCCGTGATCACAGATTACCAGGATTATTATCATTTTATACACAATGGTCAACACAGCAAGATTACGGTTTGCGCTTCAAAGGGCAAATCGTTGGAAATCTATACGAGTCCAAGGTCGTCAACCAAATTCAACAGCCAGCATATAAGACGGCAAAATCGTCAGCAAATAGGACGACGTCATTTCTCAGAAATTCTCAGAGTGAGTTCTGTGGCATCATGAAAGACTATTTGAAAATGATGAGCGTAATGAAGTAAAACTTTATTCGTGTTCAAGTTTAACCAAATTCTGGAATCAGCGAAGATTTCATAGACGTTATGTGATTGAGAGATCACATTAAGAAATTTTACAGCAGATATTTGGTCTACAATGGAAATACTTTATTGCCTTTTGTGCCACATTTGTCCCATAAATTTCGCTCCGCTTTTGGCATTTCATTGAAAAAAAAACTATAAATGATCTAAGTCTTGGATTTCGACATTTTTTATGCACTATACCTCACATTTTTCCCCGTGCACTAGGCACTTCTACATACTTGGAGATTCTAGTCAGTCCATCGTCGGTTTTCGTACTGACCTTCCGTTTCAGCTTTAAAATTCTTTTTAAACAACAAAGTTCTTTTGGAAGCTGATAAAGCAAGCTCTGTCGAAAATAAGGCTGTTTATTTAATACTTAGTGATACTATTTATTAGTCTTACCGAGACAACCCCATCTAGTAAGCCCAGACTTACTAAGCTCGTTCGAGTGCTTTTTCAATTGTCGGTATCACTTTCATATAACTTTAGCTCCTTAATTAATTGCTCGAACGCGTTTTTATCAAGATTAGTCATTACACAAGAAAAATCACGGCGGCGAAACGTTAGCTGGTACTAATCTTCGACGGAAAAACATGTGTTCATTCTCCCTCAAGGATTAAATCAAAGTCTCTCTCTCTAATTTCTCCAAGAAACATGAAGTACATATTCTACTACAACGTCTAAATTTGCGCATGGCTTCTACACGATGTTAGAAGCTCAAATACAAAGGCAATTTTCAAAGACCTCTATGTTCCGTACACAGAGGAGGGATCAGAGGACGAAGAGCATGGTTTCAGCTCCAAATGACAGAATGTAATCGTTGCAATATCCAAATGGTGTTTGTTCTGCGTCACCCCATGAGAATATGGTTCAAACTTGTAATTTGACTCCATTTTTCCGGTCAGTCGAACGACACCAGCGAATATATGTAAATTAGCAGCTGCCAGTTGCATCGCTAGCCACCGGAGCGATAAGACAGATAGGCCTGGGAAACAAGCGATAGGGGTGATAAGGTGAAGCTCGGAACATCGTTACGTGTTTACGAGCTGCAAGAACGGCCATATGATGCAAAGCTTTCAAAAAACAATGATAAGTACTATTTAGTCGACAAACAGTTTACTTTCCATGTCAAAATACGCAAGAGGATGGCGAACGGCACGGAATGTTGTACATCCCCTGGCTAGGTTTCTTCTAAAGAAACCTGCGAGCTTGAGAATCTCCGTCGTTGAGGTTTTCAATTCGAACATATTCGGACGTTGTTCATCTATCCATACGGTGGTCGGTGATGTTTGGCGGTTGAGAAAGTGCATGGAAATGTGAGAAACCGTGTCAAGAGTTTCGGCACTCGAATTACCTCCGTTGCGCAATTACACGCAGAGCAATTTGCCTGTTCAGATTGTAGACGACAAAGGTCGACATGCACTGAGCACGCTGCTGGTCACCTCTTGCATCTACTCTCTAGCTTTCCAACTACTTTTTTGTATTTCTCGAAATCGTCCATTTACCTTTTAGTGTTTCCTATCCTTACAAACAAAGCAGTCACAGGAGGTGAAAAAGTGAAGTCCTTAATTTACCTACTCAACCCTTTATATGTTTAGACAAAATCTTGCATGATAGCTCGTCGAGAGTAATAGACCATTGATGCAATGCTCTAGAATGAAATAAAAATAAGTTGTCAATAAGTCCGTACATCATTTTCAGTAAAAAATAAATTTTTATGTCACGTCCACCTTACACATGAAGTTTGTCCATGTGACTAATCACAAAGTTACTTCATTTGATATTCGTAACAACCATGTTTCTAATGGAGCAAAGTGCTCTAAGTGGGCTAGTAAAGCGAAGAGTGAAGGATGCCAGAATCAAAGTATTGATGGAAACGCCTACCAGCCCACCATGTTGGGAACAAGTCGATGGGATCTCGATTGAGACTACGATACGGTCCGAGATCGACGGGCCCAGGAAAAACGGATGCAGACTTTGCGGTTGTGGCGGTGTAATAAATGGATGGAGGCAGGAAGAAAAAAACGAACCCGATGAGTTATTCCTGCACTGCCAAGACTCCCACCCTGGAGCGTTTTATGAGCGTCCGCATGTGGCCAAAAATGATCGAACACAAAGAAACGCAATACAATTTGTTCGCAAAACATCTGATCACTTCAAAGACGTGGATGCTACGAAGCTTATAAAAAATAGAACAGTGAGATGTGTCTGAATCAGTCCATGATCAAATCGCATAAGGTACATCCACGAAAATCAGTTAACTGGTCCCTTCAAAAGACCTTTGACTACTCTGACTTCATCCATGAAATTATTGTTGATATGTTAAACCATAGCAATAGCCATGATTTTCAAGGTTCGCTATAGCCGCTTTCGTGCTGATTTGCCAAAATTTCTCTCCTGTGCACTAGGCGTTGGACTACAGTGATTGGTGCATACAGCTCTTATTGAAAACCCTGGTCGAATGAAATAGCGAATGAAAGCTCGGACCGCACTTGAAATGGTGTGGAACGATTCAGAGAACAAATTGCCGACCAGTAAACAATGAAAACCGAGGTTTTGATAGCTTAACGTCATCAAGATTTAAGGTGAATCAAATATTTTACAAATATAATCATACCCTTCATGCGTGATTGCTTAAAGTTATACTGTTAAATGGAATTTTTCTGCAAAGTTCTGGACATCTGATGGAGTGGGGCTGCAAAACTGTCATCATCTTGGAATAGAGTGTCTATGGCTTCGAGGGATACGACACCCGATCTTTCAGCTTTCCTGTTCCCCATTTTCCACTTTTTTTAATTTTCCGTTTTTCCAATCCAATTTATCAAAGGCTAACAGTAAAGCAGTGAATGGGAAAAGTTTTCTGCGATAAGCATCGTTAATTGCTAGGTGGAAGGAAGACGCATTCGAGACAATAACGAAAAAAAAGAATGAAGAAAAACAACTGCCGACGCATCGATTGCACAGAAAAAACCCACCCATTTATTATTGCATTTGAAGCGAATTTTTCGCGCGTTCACCGCTCGGCACGTCAAGTGGTACGGTCGGGACTTGACGACGTGGCCGGACTGAGGGTGCTCGAGCAGCATCACCTCCTCCATCACTGAAACACCACCAGTCATTCATGGTGCTGCTGTGCAGCCGACTATCACAGTGACACTACGTGCTGGTGACCCCGAGGAAAAAAAAAGTGCATCTAGGAGACTCGCCCAGTAAACGCTGAAGAATGTCAAGCAATCATTGCTCAGTATTAACATTCAAAAAACAGTTTAGGACGATATCTTCACTTATTAAACGTTGTTGCGTTAAAGTAAACCACATGTTAATCTGGACATCTCAAGAGATCTCATTACGGTTACCTGGGCGAGTTCACCAGAGTATGGGGAACTATCCAGCACTAGTTGGTTTTTGTCCATAAATTAGTGTCCAGCTTTAGCTGGCATGACGGTGCAGCCGCCTAATTGGCTGATTGGAGAAAGAAATGGTAAATCCATGTCAAAAATATATCTATAAAGACAAATATATGTGTTTTTAGCTTACATCAGGAAAGGTAAGAAAAAAATTGTGAAACTCGAAGGCTGAAAAGTAAGCGTCAAATTTTCGTGTCGACTTCGATGGAGTTACATTTGACTTTACACTCGTGTACTAGTCAGGAATATTGCCAAACAAGACTACTGCAACAGCGAACCGTTATTACGAAAATCCTACAGCATTGAAGATCAGCAGATGTTATTCTATTCATCTAAGAGGATGCTCGGGGGAGAATGCATCTTTACCAAAGACTTCTGATGATTTTCTTGAATATTCAAATCTGAATTTCACAGTTTGAGATTTCGTTCCAATTGGAAAATAACCTGATGCGGACAACACGAAGGTCACACTTTCCTAAACATTTTTCTGATCGAATACAACTTTTTATGAGCACGAAAAATCAATCCTGTAACCTATTCGAGCCTTTCCGAACTCGTTCCATTTTATTTCAGGCATAAACAGGACGAATCTAGTAAAATGTCAAGAAAGTGTACCTGCTAACGCTTAAGCGTGTAAGACCCAGGTTTCACCAATCCACTATCACAGGACACCTGGCCAACTAAAGTCTATTTATAAAAAGTTGGAAGAACATCTCGTTGACTTTAAACAAATTTAAGGACAGTTTTCACATTCCGTTTCGTTTTCCGCTGATTTCACTGCTTGTTTATAATAACGAACAGTACAAGAATACATTTGACTAGAGAACGAAAGCTGTCAAAGACGGTAGTAATTTTGATAGCGAAGCCTTCAAATTGATGGATACTCTACGTAGTCTTCAGGTTAACTAGATCGATCAGTGGATCGGTCGATACTGCAACCTGACAGAAAAGAGGATGGAAGTAAAGATGGGTGAATGGCGAAAACCGAGCGGAATACTTAGTCATGGAATAATCATGGAATGACATACAAATTCCACAAGCTTGTCAATTCGAAAAGTCTCTTTGCGGGCGAAAGCTCCATGCGGACCCAACAAACAGCTACGGCAACACTTCATGTTATTAAACATCCTTATTAATAGGGTACTAACTCATCGGTGTTTAAACAGTTCAATGAGATTGAATAATATAGAACAAAAAACTACACAAGCTAGATATCTAAATTTCTCATCCCTATGAATTGTTAGAGTCCCAGCACAAGTTCAATTCAAATTCGACTGGTATTTTCTTGGTTACGCACGTTTTCTTTTTGGGAATCGCCTTCATTAGGCGGCAGCTTACTTCTGTAGATGTGAGGGTAGCATGTCACTTTACGACAAGGTTTCTTCTAGAATGGAGGCAGTTCCCATCATATGTTTATGCTAAGCTGAACAACCGGATGGTAACTCCAAACTCCTTCACCTTACGGGTCGGACCATCTGTTGCACGTCGTGGGTACACAATGACACCCTGATAATCTGGTACTATCACATTTCTTGACCATTTTGATTACGATTTATGAGTTTCTGGGAAATACAAACAGTTTTAAAGAAAAAGAAAAACCACCTGAATTCGCTGAAGGTAGTAAAGAAAGAATAAGAACTATGATGGGAGGTAGTAAACGCGTCATAAATGCGCCTTAGTCACATAGCAGAAATTCGAATAGTAGTTGAACAGAAATATTTCCGCTCTTAGCAAAAATTACTGTCAACGGTCGTTTGAGGTACTATGACGGAGCGACCACGACAGACCTGTACGGAACGCCCACGTTCTGGATGCGACAATGTGGGCGTGGCCGAGTGCCTCCGATGGGCGTGGCGGGTGGGAAGTGAAAGTCGTCAGGCCGTCGACTTTCCTCTCATCTCCAGCCGCATTCCGGAAACTACTGTTACTAAATTGTCGGTTGCAAAACATAATCAATTGACTGGTAAATTAAAGTAATTAAGCTAAATCTTAATGAAACAGAAGTGAGATCGTTATTCGAAAGCTGCGCTAGACATTGCTGTTCTTTGGGACGGCATTGTCAACGTAAATGGAATAAGAAAGAGAAAGAAGGATGGAAATAGTAAGCCGCATCGATTTCATGCATTATTTTAAAGCGGTATTTATGTGAATCTTACCTAAAAAGGTCTGCTTCCAATTCATCGCTATTTTGTAGGCATGTTCTGCTTCTGTAATTCAACATAAAATATCACAATTACATCTTTCAGGAAGGTCTGTATACATAGTCCGCAAGTATTTTTTTTCAAAATGACAACGCCCTGACATTCCCATTCAAGAAGTAAGGTTCAGAAAGGCCTGATAAAGAGGTATTGTACTGTGACCACCAAACGTGTGACTCCTCGTCAATTTGACTAACTCGAAATGAGGACGAGTTTCCCATGAAAGACCTCACATAGACACAGCGCATGGGACTGTACTTGCTAATGGGCTACTGCTGAATGAAAAACGTAGCGAATCAAAGGAAAGAAGCTTTAGAGCAAAGTGAAGTTATGCTTTGGAATTTGGTAAATCGACCATAAGAGTTATTTAGTCTTTCTTCATGGTGAGATCACAAAGATAACGAAGAAACCATCAAATTTTTTTGAACCAGTAAGAGAAAAGAACAATCCGCATAACTTTCGAATGCATAACGAATCTTAAATTTATTAAAAGGCACAATATAAGAAGAAGCTCTGATGTTCTTCACGGTCGCTACGGAATGAGAAGATTAGTGAAGCACACTAGATTTCTCTTCCATCTAATTTCTCTTCGATTGAGATAATTTGATATTCATTTTAACTAACTGATGGTGCACCTATTTCCCATTCTTCTTATTTCATCTGACTCGTTTTCACGCCTACTGTGCGGATCCCAGCATTTCTCACATTGAATTCGTTTCCTCGTAACCATTGTCTACAAAGATCTTCCAACTTCATGCGTGGCTTCGGTTGCTGCTTGAGGATCTTCATGTCATCTTGAATGTTGTAGAATGCTGCTTGAGAAGTTCTCCCTGGAGTTCTGAGATAGCCGGGCTGGGGCGTTCCCAATCGGACTGCAGAGAGCGATTTTTTTCCAGACAACTCTGGTACCAATTTCCCGACCCTGGAGGGATGAGAGGCTTGGTTGTCATGGATTGGATTCGAACTAGCACCGTGCTCGTGATGACGGACATCACTACCATTGGGCTATCCGTCTCTATTTCTCATTACTAAAAGTTATATATTAAATTCATTGTTTACAATTCTTCCAAGGACTCCCGACTACAACGGCCGTAAAAGATTGCCTTCACTCGCACAAAAATCCTGTAAAAATGTTGATTATGGACCGTCAATAAAGCCTACTTCAGGATGTTAAAATTCACTGAAGTTTGGAAATTGCTCTGACCATTTCTGATCTTCACCATTCTTCTTCGGCAACAGTGGAGATCTTGCGAAATCAACCTTTAAGTGAAAACTCGTAGTGAGAAAAAGTTCGCGAAGAATGCTGCCTTCCTTTAGTGAGGTCGACGGTGGTGAATGTTCTCACATAAAAATTGCTAGCGAACACGATGGGATATGATGGTCGTATGCACCGCATCGAAACTTCGAAAACACTCAAAAGTAACAGAGAAAAAAATTCGCGTCTCAACTGACGCATACACATGCAGTATGAAAAGATAGTCGCCGTTCAACTGACGGAGCAGTTAAATGTGTAGGCCCGACGATAGTCATGGGTGACTCCACATGTGGGAGGTGGACTATTTCTAAAGTGAAGGACGATAGAACACCTTTCCATCGGCATGGAATTTTGAAAATAATAACAGCTATTGAAAATATCGGACTGGAATGAGATAATAGCAGTCAGATGTGAAACATTACTAATTCAATTACAATGATGCGGTGATGCCACCAAAACTCGGAACCTCAGGTGGGTTTCAAACTCACGGCAACTCTGACCATGGGCTTACGAGCTGTCCATCTCACCAACGCAGGCTTCCGAGTTTTGCTCATATCTCAGCGTATCTGCCGTTGTATTCCACCTAGCAACTTGCTGTGAAAAAGGATATGCAAAGAATAAATGTTAGGACTACTGATTCTGTTCTCACAAAGTACACAGAAACCGACTAGGAATAAGTGCTATGAAATAAACCTTAACTCTATTAAGTGACGGTGTAAACCTATATCCTCTACCTCAGACGACAAGACGAGGAAAAACAGGAGAGCGCGCGGTAGCCATGAACAGTAAGGCACGGTGCGTGAGAATGACAAATGGAGAGTTTCCTGAACCCCATTAAAATCATTAGATAAATGGTGGGGTTACAGATGAGGCAGCTAATTTCCTATTGCCTTCACTTATCCGATTTGCATTAAAGCTTACGAAAAAATGTGAACGTCGAGTGAAAAAACGTTCAATGAAAGATAAAATGTTAATTAATATTCCTAGCGACATATGCCGGAAAACTCCCTTGGTAATTGTTTAAAAGTTCTTCAACTCTTACACTACAACTCTATAAAAGGATAAAAAAGGATAATTCGCGCTGATCAATCCCTGTAGATGCTCCATGCATTCGACTTCATTAGGCATCGTTGGCGGTGATTGAATGCATATTTAGCCTTTACTCGCGTTGGCCTAGCGATGTATCCAGCCAGTGCTGCTATCCTCCCAGACAAGTCTTGTACCATTCTACCGACCTC